GGGGGGGGGTTGGCCAGGCTGAGGCGTGTGTGCAAGGAGGAGTAGAGGGGGTTTTGGGATCTGAACGTCCTGAGGCTGGATGCGTCGGCGAATTAACCCTCTAAACCCTAAGCCCTAAACCCTAAGATTTGGGAAGCTGTTGGTGTTGTTTTGGATCTCCAAACCCCGCTAACCCTGGTGTTGTTTTGGCTAGTATACCTGCCCGTTGCACCGAACAGGTCCCAACTTTGAGGAAGCTACTTGGAGGGTTAGGGCTGAGGGTTGCGGGTTCAGGGGTTCAGCAGTTTAGGGTTTCAGGGATGAAGGTGTGCAAGAGAGGTCGTGCGCTTGTGCGTGAAGGACCCCTGGCCGCCCGCTCGCATTGCTTGTAAGCCCACTCCTTCCACCCACAATGCATTCAATTATGGTTTAGGGCCACGACATTTCAGACTCTATTATTTATATGTATTTTCAGTTTCATGACAGTCTGCCTGCTTTCATAGGGCGCGAGCTGGTCTGGAACAGTTTGACAGATGCAATTCTGAATGGTGGCTTGTCATTGCTTCGCGCAAGGTTTGTGTCCCGCACGCAATGACAGCTGAGGCCTTTCAACACTTAAAAAATCCTCTTGCAATGTGTGTGTCTTACAACCAGCGACCTGTTAGAGACCCACAGGCCATGAAATGTGCAAGCAGCCTCCGTCCGATTGAAACTCGTATGATCCTGGCAGCGCGAAAGTTTTTATCGCGAGCTGAATGTCCACGTTGGAACCCTCCGCTTTTGGGACCTTCGGAATGATTGGGCACCACGTGCCCTAATAACCTCGCTTGACACCTCTCGTGATTGCGGGGTGGAATGTCTTGGAGCAGTATGCTGCATGAGCAATGAAATGTTGGAAGTTCACCAGTGTCATTTTTTGTGCAAACACGGAAAAAGCTAATCTGGAACATGTCAGAAGTACTGCACTAGCGCGGCTTCCCTCAACCCCCTGAAATCCCAACACCCCCCAACACTCAAAGAAACCCAAAGCAGGCTCCCTATGCATCCCATGATGCCATCATCGCTGGCAATGCCGCTCTTTACGGAGGCTTTTTGACGGAGCGCAGGGCTTTCAAAGGGGTTAGGTTTTGGGTTCAAGGCTTATAGATTTTAAAATCAAAGTTTAGGATTTAGTGGCGAGGCTTGGGATAGGGAGGATTGGGGGTCTAGGCATGTGAGCTATAGTCTAAACTCCTTAAAGGGGGTGTATATAAGGATATATATAGGGGACTATAGGGGTTATTAAAGGGGATACTAGGAGTTTAGACTATAGCTCATGTAAGGTTTCAGGGTCTTGGGCGAGTTGTCCTACTGAACGTGTATTGGGCTGAGGGGAGCGTAGGGGGTAATTTCCATCGACATGGGTCCCTACTGGGGTTTGGAGTTCTGCAGCAACCAGTCACGATTTGTTATGCGGAGAGGGGGAGGTGCAGGCTGGAGAATTGCATTTGTTTGCTTCGAGAGGCTGCCCAGGATCTTGAAAATCACAGTTATGCCCGTTTGAAGGGCAATTCTGGGACAACAAGGTAAAGTTTAAAGGGTACAGGAGGGAGAATGAACCCATAGTCTTGTGGATGTAGATGATGAGCAAGTAGTTTCCCCACTGGCAGTGTGGGATCAGGTTCTTTCCCCGGCTTTTCAGACACCCGATAACGCCTGCAACCCTGATGTGTTGTGACCAAAGGGTCCATGTAGGTATTTAGTATATACATACTTGAGGCCCAGATAAGTTCCCGTTAAGTGCTTTTAGGCCCAAGTGTATGTCATGTGGCCACGTGGAGTCTTTGAGCTTTGGGCTCGAGACAATCCCAAGCCCGCCCCTTCTTCAACCTTCACCCCTTACAGTTACCCGTCTACTGCCCGAATTGAAGTCCGCACCACATGAAAATTAAAAACTCTGACGTCCAAACCCTTATGACTCCCACCCCCGTGTACTTCCCCAACAGCCTTGTGCAGGCACTGCCGGCAAAGCCTTCTTTGCCGGCATCGCGGCCGAGCGCTTTGCGGTGCGCAACTCGGGCGCCACAGCCGTCTGCGAAGGCCGGGATTCGGGGGTTGAGGTTTAATGTGTATGTGAACCCCTCAGTATTTGAAATACTAGACTGTTTTTGATTGCTTCTGAAGGTCTTGGGCCAATATATTGCCCAATGTTAGGCACAGGAAGGATTTAGGGCTTTGAAGTTTAGTCTTTGGGTTTATGGGGCAGGGTTTGTCTAGAGTCTAGAGGGTCAGGGATACCTGGTAAGTCGGTCAGCTGGGGTCATTACCGTTAGTGGTGATTATACGGCGGTTACGAAACGCAAATTTGTTGCGACATATCGAACTGCGAGACATGCCAGACAGAATTCGCCCGAAAGAAGAGGTCCCCCAAACACTCCCCGAAAAGCAAGCCGTAGAAGTGAGTGCACGAGTTGTCCACCTCACTGAACCCCATGTCTGTAGAGTTACAAAACGTTGGGTGCCCCCTACCAGGACACATCCGCGGAGCATGCTTGCTTACATTAAGGAAACTTGCCGAGCCCACACGGCCTTCTAGGTATATGCAGACCCTTTCTAGGGTTATGATATGTGCTAATTTGGGTGGACGTCCGTGATAATCATGAGTCGAGGATGTTGCAAGGGTTCTTAAAAAGCTTGTGGATATCCATATATCACGATGTATTTGGTCATGTCTCAAGACAATGCTTATAAAACCTACAATCTCTGCGTAATCCCTATATGCCCTGAGAGCTCCCCATGTGGATTTAGCTTCACATCTGGTTTAGGGTTTCAGGAGGAGGGTTCCGGGTCAACCCTAAACCCGAAACCGCGTAATTACCGGGTGTGATGTAGTATTTATATGGCCTCTCATGGCCATTCTTTTGTAAGCTGCAGTAATAAAGTTAACCCTGAAGCTCCAAACTTTTTCACTAGTCGTCATATGA